AGTAAGTTGTTCATAATGACATAAAATACCATGTACTCTATAGTAAGTTGTTCAAAGCGACAAAATACCATGTATTATAGTAAGTTGTTCAAAACGACATAAAATACCATGTTACTATATAAAATACCATGTTACTACATAGTAAGTTGTTCAAAGCGACAAAATACCATGTACTAGAGTAAGTTGTTCATAATGACATAAAATACCATGTACAATAGGAAGATGATTAAAACAACAAAAAGTACCATGTAGTAAAGTCGTGTGAAACGTTGAAAAATGCCACATACTCTGTCTTTTTAAAAGTTTGTTTCATTTCTAGTATGCATGATAAGTACTGCTACCACCAACATGTACGTGTATGTGTATTTGTACTGTACTGTACTCTCACCCATCATTATATCTTTGGTGACTGACTGCAGGACCACCTCCTCATACATGTTCTCCACCAGCAGGAAACGGGACAGGTCCTCAAAGATCAGCTCCTTGTAGCGAGGCAGCTCCTGGGTAAAGGATGTGAATCAGGATTATAGTCGGTCCCAGCAGAGCGTTGTGATGATGTCATCATGAGGACTCACAGGTGTGCAGGAGGGCTCCAGCTGCTGCAGCATGTAGGGGATGATGATCTGCAGTAACGCCTCTCTGAAGAACTTCTTACGCACCGTGCTGCTGTCGTAATCGTATTTCTGACAGGACACATCAAAAACACTGTTTGTAGCTAACAGCCAAAACAGCTGAAGCTGTGTTTACGCTGACTGCAGACCCACATTTCAGAATAACACTACATAAATGCTGGAAACTGCTGGTGTAAGCCGTGTTCCTGCAGTGAACCAAATGTTTTATGTTTGTTTAGTCTCACCTTGATGACCCGGTCCTGGCACCTCTGGATGGTTTTGCAGACGTCCTCCTCGCTCTGAGACTCTAAAGACTGCTGAAGCAGCTGCTCAAACGTGTACACGGCGTTGTCCATTTGCTGCCGGGAAGGAGCAGACAGGCGTCAGGAGCAGTTCTGCTGTCGCCCAGCAGGGGGCAGCAGAGACGAGCCTTTACCTGCTTCATGAGGACCTGAGRTCTGCTGATGAACACGGAGGGGCTGGACAGGTCAAACCTCTGCTGCAGACCCTCCAGGTTCAGCTGCTCCATCTTCTCGTAGCAGCTCTGCATCTTCACCGGATGGAAGGCCAGCATGGACAGACGCTCCAGTTGCTGCGGGGCGGAGCGAGGATACGTTCAGGGAGAATCAGCTCCCCGACAGGGTTATTACAGTTAATTAAAACTAGCTAAATAATGAAAACTGAAATTTAAAAAAAACATTTTAGTTAACTAAAATAAATAAAAACTGCAGTCCACTTCGGGATTTCTTAGAATATGACTGTGAGAAAAATCAAATCAGGTATCTTGTTGTGGAAACAGGTGATAAAACAGGTGGAATACTTCTCAAAGGAAAAACTGCATGAATCAAACTCACACAAGATGCTAACTATGACTGTCTGACACGCTAGCTTCTCTCAGCAGCTCCATGAAAAACAAACAGGAAGCAGCAGGTTGGAGACGACTATTGTCATCGTCCTAAAATAATCACCAAGTTTTTAGTTGATAAAACTGAGTTACACAATTATTTTAGGAAGTTGTTGCTATAATGAACTGATTTAACTAATGACCAAATAGCTGCTGGTTAGTGAACTCACAGGAACATCACAAGCTGGAGGATGCATTGGCAAATACACTCACCGGCCACTTTATTAGGTACACCTGTCCAACTGCTCGTTAACACTTAATTTCTAATCAGCCAATCACATGGCGGCAACTCAGTGCATTTAGGCATGTAGACATGGTCAAGACAATCTCCTGCAGTTCAAACCGAGCATCAGTATGGGGAAGAAAGGTGATTTGAGTGCCTTTGAACATGGCATGGTTGTTGGTGCCAGAAGGGCTGGTCTGAGTATTTCAGAAACTGCTGATCTACTGGGATTTTCACGCACAACCATCTCTAGGGTTTACAGAGAATGGTCCGAAAAAGAAAAAACATCCAGTGAGCGGCAGTCCTGTGGGCYGAAATGCCTTGTTGATGCCAGAGGTCAGAGGAGAATGGGCAGACTGTTTCGAGCTGATAGAAAGGCAACAGTGACTCAAATAACCACCCGTTACAACCAAGGTAGGCAGAAGAGCATCTCTGAACGCACAGTACGTCGAACTTTGAGGCAGATGGGCTTCAGCAGCAGAAGACCACACCGGGTGCCACTCCTTTCAGCTAAGAACAGGAAACTGAGGCTACAGTTTGCACAAGCTCATCGAAATTGGACAAGAGAAGATTGGAAAAACGTTGCCTGGTCTGATGAGTCTCGATTTCTGCTGCGACATTCGGATGGTAGGGTCAGAATTTGGCGTCAACAACATGAAAGCATGGATCCATCCTGCCTTGTATCAACGGTTCAGGCTGGTGGTGGTGGTGTCATGGTGTGGAGAATCTTTTCTTGGCACTCTTTGGGCCCCTTGGTACCAATTGAGCATCGTTGCAATGCCACAGCCTACCTGAGTATTGTTGCTGACCATGTCCATCCCTTTATGACCACAATGTACCCAACATCTGATGGCTACTTTCAGCAGGATAATGTGCCATGTCATAAAGCTGGAATCATCTCAGACTGGTTTCTTGAACATGACAATGAGTTCACTGTACTCAAATGGCCTCCACAGTCACCAGATCTCAATCCAATAGAGCATCTTTGGGATGTGGTGGAACGGGAGATTCGCATCATGGATGTGCAGCCGACAAATCTGCGGCAACTGTGTGATGCCATCATGTCAATATGGACCAAAATCTCTGAGGAATGCTTCCAGCACCTTGTTGAATCTATGCCACAAAGAATTGAGGCAGTTCTGAAGGCAAAAGGGGGTCCAACCCGTTACTAGCGTGGTGTACCTAATAAAGTGGCCGGTGAGTGTATGTTTATTCAAACTATAAAAAAACTAATACAACCTAAACTAAAATTAAGCATTAAAAATGCAATAATAACTAATAAAAACTAAACTAAACTAAAACTAAGCATTAACAATGAAATAATAACTAATAAAAACTAGCAAATCCACTGTAAAAATTAATTAAAACTAAATGAATTCAAGAAAAGTCAACCAAATAAATTAAACTATAATGAAAAATCCTAAACTATTGTAACCTTGACCCCCCCCCCAAAATAAATAAAACAAAATAAAAAAACAGCTGACTGACCTGGCCCAGGTTGCCCTTGTCCTCTCCGTTCAGGGAGTTCTTGCTGATCTCCACCAGCTCCTTGAAGAAGACGTCCCGGACCTCAGAGAAGCCTCGGCTGGTGGGCTCCATCAGGGCGTCCAGGATGGAGCTGATGTAGGGCTGGATGCTGGTCCGGAGGAGCTGATCCGATTTGGGCGACACCAGAGCTGCAGAACAGAAGAGAGATGAAATCCTCCTGTTTTTACTTCCTGACTCAAAGGTTCAGAAGAACCAAGGAAGGAATGTTTAAAATAAATAACCGTGGTCACAGCTGCACGGTTTTAAACCGCTGTATTTCTCTGACGTCACATTAAAAACACTGTTCTGGACAGGAGAGACGTGCTGGAATGCAGCTCTTCTGCTTCGGCTGCACGGGAGCAGGATGAAAGCAGAACGTAGAACCGCCTCGAGAACGTAAACAAAACAGAAAACAGACGAGGAGAAGCTCGTTTAAAATGAAGGTCCATCACAAAGATCTGTGTTCAGACACAACCTGTTAGCATCTTCAGCTAACATTTTACGATATTTAGCTAGTTTGGTTTATTTCAGCCACTTTTTTTTACCCATTTTTAAACACTTTTTTGTTTTAACACATACAACTCTTCTTTAGAAGATTAAAAATGAGGTACTCTGTTAGCATTTTGCTGTTTTTCTCAAGATTGCATTTTGCTACTTATAAGAAAGGTTTTGCTGCTTTTAGCTATTTAGCTCTTTTTAGCCGCTCTTCTGCTATTTTTAACTGTAAGAACTGAGTTGCAGCATTCAGTATCATCCGGTTAGCTTTTTGCTGCTTTTATCTAGCACTTGAAATGTTGTAATTTGAAATGTCCCTGTATGTTTTGCTAGTTTTAGCTACTGTTTAGCTCTTTTCAGGTATTTTTTGGCCCATTTTAAACTTCTTTTATTTTTTTAGCTCAAACAACTTTTCTTCAGCAATACAATACTCAGCTAACATTTTACAGTTCTTTTGCCAGATTTACTTAGAATTTAGCTACTTTTATTGAAGATTTTACCACTTTTYGCTATCATTTTGCTATCTTTAGCTACTATTCTGCCTTTTGAGCTTTGTTCTGCTTGTTTTAACTTTAACAACTCAGTTTCAGCCTTTACATTCTTCCGTAACATCCCATTAGTGTTTTGCAGCTTTTTATCTTGCATTTGTAACAATGTTTTAAAAAGTTTAGCTACTATTTTGCTTATTTCAGCTACTTTTTACCCCATTTTAACCCTTTGATTTGCTTATTTTAGCTCAAATAACTCWTCTTTAGCTAGTATCAACAAAATCATTCAATACTCAGCTAGCATTTTTCAGTTTTTGATAGATTTACCTACAATTTAGCTACATTTCACTAAAATTTTGCTACTTTTAGCTATTATTTAGCTACTATTCTGCCTTTGAGTTTCTATTCTTATTTTAACTTTACCAATTCAGATTTAGCCTTTATGTTCCTCAAAAACACCCAATAAGTGTTTTGCAGCTTTTAATCTAGCATTTGCTACTTAACATTTTTCTACTTTTAGCTACTCTTTTGCTGATTTCAACCCTTTGTTGTTTAGTTTTAGCTCAAACAACGCTTCAGCAGCAATTCTGCTACTTTTAGATACTATTCTGTCTTTTTAGCTATTCTGCTTTTAGAACTACTGTTTTGCTTGTTTTAGCTATAACGACTCTTCAAATGTCAACAGAATCGTTCAGTTCTCAGCTCACATCGTTTTAAACTCGCATTTAGTGACTTTTTTTTGCTACGTTCAGCTATTATTTTGACCTTTTAGCTGTTGTTCTGCTTTTAGAGCTTCTGTTTTGCTTGTTTTAGCTTTAACAACTCAGTTTCAGCCCTCATGTTCTTCAGTTATGGTTCATTAGCATTTTGTTGCTCTTTAGCATTAGCTACTTAATGTTTTGCTCTTTTTAGCTACTTCAGTTTGTTTTAACTTAAACTCAGATTCTTCAACACTTTGTTAAATTTTGCTAGCATTTTGCCACTCTTGGTGTTTCACTACTTTTACTTATTTTGTTAGTTTTTAGCTTCTYGCTGCTGTTTTAGCTACSACTCTGCAGCATTAGGCTGTTTATTAACTGACTCCGGCCTGTTTGCTGCACCTCGTATCTTGCTGCTGACGTGTTCCTTCGTGGTGATCAGCTGGTCCATGTCGGTCCTCAGTCTGGCGTCTAACGGGGTCTTTTCGGCCTCGCAGGCCTGCAGCAGCGCCGCGTGCTGCCGGCTGGTCTGAGCCAACACCTGCCTGTACACGGTGTCCGAGATCTGCGGAGGGCGAGAGCGGTTTTAAAAAAACAGCAGGTGTGGTCCGAAAAACACTTTTATTTTTCCTGCGCTGCGGCGGAACTCACCAACATCCAGTTCCTCTGCCGCTGCTGCAGCTTCCCCTTCAGCCGAGGTCCGATCTGAGCCCTGAGCTGAGGCTGCAGGCTCTCCATCACCAGATTAGCTAAAATCTGAGACAGATTAACATGGTTTAATGTGGAAGATTATCATTAGTGTCTAATGCTAATCCAACCAAATATAACTGAAATTCATTTTAATAAGTATACTTGAGTATAAGTTTAAGTATATTAAGCACCATGTACTTGTAGTGTACTAGAAATTATACTGATTTTATATTTGTTTGTACTAAATTGGAACTTTTTTTTGTTTATAAAAAGTATACATAAAGTATCCTGTTATGTCTTTTTAAGTTTATAAACTTACCCAAAAAAAGTAAACTTTAAGTACATGTCATTAGTATACTAAAGTATATAAAAGTGTATTTCACTAAGTGTTCTTTTATTTACCGTGTACACTGATACAAGTACACTTGCAGTTTACTAACAAGTATACTTCTAGGACTAAATTGGTCCACAATAAGTTTATGAAAGTGTACTAGAAGTATACTGAAAGTAATCTTCTAAATACACTTTTAGTTTAATCTTGAATTATACTATGCGTGAAAATGTACTTTCAGTGTACTGCTAAAATTTATCTTGGCCAAAAGTTGAAACATGAGTATAAACTGAGTATCCTTAAACTTTTAGTATAAYCCAAGTATAATGTACGARAAACTTGGTTAAGTATATCTCAGATAAGTACATAAAAAGTAAACTTGAAGTATACTCTTTTATTTGTAGTTTATATTTAGTGTACTTAGTGCAGGGGTCTGRAYCCTTTATGATCAAATGATCCATTTCTGCTCCTTGTCTCACTAATAAAATGTGTCCGGAGCCACAAAACAAGCTATAACTGTGATTATCAACTGGTGGTCCGTGGACCTTTTCGAGGCCTTTTTGGGAACCTTAATGGTCAGTGGAGGTGACATTATAAAACTAAAGGAATATTGTTATTATTATTATATTATTTAATATTATAAACATCAGGACAAAAAAAGACTATATTCATGTAAACAAGAAAAATACAGTTTAGTTTATAGCGAATTTCATAAAAACTAGTACAACTGAAATATTCAGGCATATTTTTTTCTTATTCTTATTATGTAGTCTTCAAATTATTTAAAGCTAATTCTGATGGATTTGAGAGAAAAATCAACGAAAGAAATTGGAATATTTAAGTAAACAACAGGCTAACATGAGCTAACGTCTTTTACTTTTTGTATTAGTATTGATTGAATATTTGTATACAAATTGATTTCTGTTGTGTGTATAAAAACCAAAAAAAAAAAGTTATTCTGTTATGTTTGGTCACATTTTCAAAGAGCCACTGCAGAGGGACCAAAGAGCCATATGTGGCCCCAGAGCCACAGGTTGCAGACCCCTGGGAAACTTGCATGTATATTTTTTGCTAAAGGTAGCTACAGCTAATCAGCTTCAGCTTCAGGTAGTAGCCGAGGGTTGTGCCTAACTCTGAGCTTCAGATCGTTCAGCTGCAGCCTCCTGTTTGTTGTTAAACTTTAAACATTCGGTCTTGGTCTTGAAGGGTCCGGTCTTGGTCTTGGTCTTGGAACATCCGGTCTTGACTACACCTCTGGAAAGTATGTCGCTGCGTTTCTTCAGCGACCTCACCCGACGCCCCGGAGCGACTTTCGTCTCACATTCAGAAAATACCTGAAGCRGGAGCGACTCTTTTCACTCTCTGGTTTCACACCGACTTAAAGCCTTTGTGCTCAAAGGAATCAATCACCTGGTTTCACATCTAAAACATGAGAAGAATTTGAAGATGGAGAAAATCTGTGAAYGTAAATTTAATTCTGATGACTCTAACCAGTCGTTTTAATTTATTGATTTAACCACAGCAGCTAATTAACTAATTAGATCACATCAAAGCCACGTTCTGAAGAAATTAGATACTTTTATTTTGAAATTCAGTGTCAGACTCAGACTGAACCCATTCTAAGTAAAATTTAAAAACCCTGGAAYGCAAAGGCAGCTTCCTCCTCCCGCCTTCGTGTTCTGATCCGTCTGATAACCTGTCAATCAAAGTTCACAGCGAGCTTCGTGTCTGACCTGCGGCGGCTGTCCACACATCATGTCCCAGGTCCCGAAGTGTCCCCGGGTCTGTCTGAAGCGTCTCACGGAGTCGGTGAAGGCCGGCGTGTGGACCGGACTGTCCTCCGACAGACCTGCCGGGTCGAGACAGAACATCTTCAGATCAGTTAAAAACAAACTTTGAGTTTTATGTTTTTAGACTTCAACAGAAATGATGATGACGATGATGATGAMGAMGAGGAGGAGGAGCCCCCCTCCCCCACATTTAGCTGAGTGTCTGTTTCTGTTGCTCCAGTTTCCACAGAAAGATAAACAGATAAAAACAGAGTTCCTGCTCCTCATCGTCACCCACGCCTGTGTCATCTATGAAAACAGGAAGTCCTCGACTCGCCGGAGGACAGTTTACGGGCGGTAGCCATGGCTACGCGCCCTCCGGGTCGAGTTTCAGAAAGTAGATTCTTGAGGGATTAAAATATCTGTAACTGATATCAGCTGGAATATTTTCTACCTCCAAGATTTAAAAAAATATATATATTTTAATCAGAAAAGTTTCCTAAAAAATAAAAGTTTAATTTTCTCCAAAATTGATTTATATATTTTTAAACTCTTATTG